GGTCCACCATGGGCACCCCTGCTGGCACAGCCTCCAGCCTCACGGCAACACGCAAGCCACCACAGGGCTTTTTACTCAGGGCTGATGGGTAAAAATGTACAAGCAGGCCCTATGGTGGACCCTAAGCCCTGTCTCTCCCTGGACCCAGTCCCCATCGTCTGCCCTGTGACCAGGTTTCTGTCAGGCACAGACGACCAAGTCCGGCCTTTCCTCCCCTCAGACAGGGCCACCTCCTAGCCTGAGGTCCAAAAAGAAAGTGATCTTGTTCCAGGTGGCCACTGCCACCTGCACTCCTGAGGACCAGCTGGGGCCCAGCATACTCTCAAGCTTCTGCCCCCGCTGTCCCCCATACTCCACGGGGGACTCCACCGAGACCTCTGCTTCTCTAGCACCCCTCCCCCAGGAGGAGTCCCCCCACTTACTGTCGCATCTTGGCCACCAGCTTCCTCACTGACCCCAGCTGTGCTCTGAGGGAGGCCCCACCTACGCCCTCCGTTGGCTCCCCATGACCCTGAAAGTGTCAACTGTTGCTCCTGGCTTGAAGAGTCCCTTTGGGTCCGGCCCTGCCCACTCTCTCCTGTCCTTTCACAGGCTTCTTGCTGGGCCCTGTCATGTCTCACCCTAAGCTTCTGCACTGTCTCCTCGAGGAAGCCATCTCGCATCGTCTGCACACTTGTCAGACACTTACCACATTGTAGTGGCAGGCCTGGTACCCCCACCTGGTACGTCTCTTCCATCTCTCCTGGAGGACACCTACGTTGTGTCACCTCGGTGGGAAATCACGACTCTCCCCCGAGTCCTATCTCCAAAACTACCCTTCCAAAAAATGCTGTTTCATTTCTGAGTTGGACACTGGTGCCCACTGTGACCAGTCTTCCTCAACACCAACCCTCTCTTCCAGCCAACACCTTTGCTCACACGCAGCTAATACCCTTCTTTCTCATCCTCCCTTCCCAGCAGACTTTGTGGCCCTTTGCTGGGACTCACCTAACCATGGCACTGCAAGGGTACCCCGCTCTCCCCTTTCTCAACCAGACCCTGAGGGCCCTCCACTGCTGTGGGCTCCTCATCTCCAGGCCTGCCCCATTTGCTGCCCCTCATCCACGACCGTGTAAATACTTTATTTCCATCTTTCCCGCCTGGGCAACATGTGGAGTGTGAACAGGCAGTGTGCAAAATGGTGGTGAGCAGTGTCCCCAGGCTTTAACACTGAGGAGTGGGCAACTGGGAAGGGGGCACTGAGCATGGGTCCCTACACCAGAAGCGCCAGGGAGATTGCTTGTGACGCGACCCGAGGCCCCAGGAGCACCAAGGGTCAGCCTCGAGGGTCACGAGGCCCGCGGTGGCGGGGTCTGGGGGCATCGTTGGACTTTGGCACCGTTCTCAGCTCTGGCTCAGCAGAGACCACGGGACCACCGCGAGGCGGCGCGGGGGAGGTGGCTCCCCTGGGAAGCCTCACCTGGGGCCTGGCCTTGGCCCAAGGCTGAGGGGAAGGCTGGGGGCAAAGGGGAGAAAAGGGAGTGGAGATGAGCAGCCCCCGGAAGGGCTAAGCCTGACAAGGCTCTCCGCCATCTCTGACAAATAACGGGGTGATGGGCGTGTTTCAGAGGAAGGGGTGGGCGAGGGGAGGGGCTTCTTCACTTCCGCTCAGGTTCTCTGACCCTCCCCCCGCCCACCCCCAGGGACAGACACTGCCCAGGCCTGGCCTGGCTCCCCTGGCCGCTCACACTCCAGGTGGTCCTGCACACTGTAAGGGGGACTTTGGTTTCTGCTGCGGGGGCCACAACACCTGCACCAGGCAGGAAAGTCCAGCCCGGTCCTCTGTCCCCAGCAGCCAGGGGCTGGTCAAGGATCCCTGTGTCCCGAGGGGCACTGGTGGTGGTGAGCAGCATCCAGCCCTGAGGCGCCCCTCCTGCCTCGGGTCCCTCCAGCTCGTGGGTCCTTCCTGGCAGGGCCACCCTCGTCCTAAAAGGAGGCCTGCTCGGGGAAAGGAGCTTCCGGCTGTCCATTCCTGGGACCTCTGGGGCCCTCCCAGCCTTCGCTGGTGACTGGCCCAACCCTGCCGGGACGCAGGAGGTCCCTGAGGGATGCGGACCAAGACGGGTAACACTGCTGGGGAGGAGGGCCTGCCCAGAGATCCCCAGGACCCTGCCGGGCGCGGCCCGCCCTCTGCGCCCCGCCGCGCCAGGCCCCAGGTGTGGGCATGGCTCAGGACCGCGGGCTGGAGGCTTGGGCAGCGCGGGCCCTGGCGCCCCCCGGCGGCGACACGCCTCTGGTTCCGGGCGGGCGGGGGCGCGCCCTCAGTTGTCCAGGCCCTGGCTATAGGGCGTGGCCAGCTCGTCAGCGTCGCTGTCTGAGCTGCCCTCGCTGTCCTTGGCCGGCCGCTCCAGATGGCGAAAGAAGCGTGCGTCGCGCGGGGACAGCGGGTAGAGCGCGTCCTGCAGTGCCGCGCCCACGCCCACGCCGAGCAGCTCCTCGTCCGAGGATGGCAGCGAGTCCTCATCCAGGTGCCGCGCCAGGCTGAGTCCATCGAAGGCCAGTGGGTCCTCGAAGGGCGGCGGGCCCTTCAGCAGCCGCACCTGGGCGAGGGACGCGCGCGCTTGAGCCGTGGACGGACCCATGGAGGCCGAGGCCACCTAGGACTTGCCTGAGGCCCAGTCGCCCTGCGGCAGCGCCGAGTGACCGTCCCACGCTCACCTCGGCCTTCAGCTCCTCTATCTGGTCCTTAAGCTCGCGGATGTACTGCGACGAGTCTGAGTGATTCAGCTGGCCCTGGATACGGCCCTCCTCCCTCTGCAGGCAGCCGGGT